GACTCTAAGCGCATTCACTTGTATTCTTTATTCTTCAGATATGACACCTATCTTCTTCTTATTTCTACATTTCTGACTTGTAATTTTTGTTTCTGTCTTTTACTCAATATCCACAGTTCTGAACCATATATTAAGGTATGGATATTCAGTGAGTTGAACAGTCTTATTTTTGTTTTTGTGGATATTTATTTTTTGTTAAATAGGTGTTCCTTTAGTTGGAAGTATAATCTTGTAGATGCGTTTATTATCTTCTATTTCTGCCTCGACCTTTCCATCCTATTATTCCTAAATATTTAGTCTGTATTATTCGTTCTATTATTTGTTGTTCTAATAGGATCTCTATCTTTTGTGGGACTTCAGAAATACTCATACATTTTGTTCTATTCATATTTATTTTCAGCTTATATTCCCCCATTCCAGACCTCAAGGTTATGTTGTAGGTCTTCTTTTTTGTTTGCTAACAGTACTAGGTCATCTGCGAATACCGCTCCATATCATAGTAACCCCACGTTGCTTTCTTGATTCTGTTTCCACATACTTTTATATTTTTATCCGTTAGTACTGTGAGCATATATGGGCTCAACTGAGTTCCTTCTTGTTTAACTCCTCTTGTAGTTGTACATTTTTCAGATTTTTTATTTTTCGTTCTTATATAGTTGTCGGTATTTATAATCTACTGGTATTCATATTAAAATAGCTATGAGGTAATATAAAGACTTCTTGAATTTTTATCTACTTGACAGACATATAAAAAAACTACTGACTTGATGTGAGATTTCTAGTATCTACTACTTGACTTGAGCTTTTCTTGAGTCAAGTCAAGTCAAGTAGCTTGAAAATCAAGTCAAGTAGTGAGTCCCTAAGTGAAACAGCTGAGACAAATTCTGATAGATGACGCGACGGTGTATATCATTTTATCTCCGATAATTCTTTGGTCGCGCAAATATAGCATTAGGTTGGCTATGTTAAAGGATAATACATTAACTAATGGTGCTAGTGGACGCAGCCATTAAGAAGGTGTCCTATGCCATGTTCTCAGTGATCTGAACTTCCACAAATTGAAGCGAATCTGAGCCATTAGGAACTCCCGTGTCAATATTGTAATCGCGAATTCCAAAACTTTTATAATCACAATACTTTTCTCGCCTATGGAGCGGAAACTCAAAGGTCAGCGAAATATCTTAAATGCGTTGAGCCTTATAATGATCATCCGGTATAGATTAATTTCACGATATCCGAGCAGCTTACACTTGACGTAGGGAAGATACACTTCTCTCATATTAAAAAACTTTTCCTGTCTAGAGTTTGAATGAACTTCTTCGCAATCTGATCTATACATCAAACTTCAGAATTTGAATTTAAATGGCAAAATGCCTAAGGAAAAAGTACTGGGAAGCATAAAAGCTTTTTGAGCTTCCAAGATGGTACGTGACGGAGTTTTGTATTAGTCCGGTCAGCACAGGAGAATGATCCGCCTTTTCAAATCAAATGCTGATGACTTAAAACTTTTCAAAGGTGTTAGATCCAGTCAGGACTGTGAGATGCTTCAAGAAGACATAAATACTTTGGTAAAATTGTTTCAGTAGGATAATCTGGAACTGGGCACTATATTGTTTTTATTCATAATAGGAGCTGCTTCGAGTACACTTTCATGACTAAAGACAGTGCACTATCTCACAGACACAGTATTTTTACATAGAGATTCAGGGAGATGAATCGATCGATCTCTTAAGTTAATGCCAGGCTGTTTGGATAACTGGCACTCATGTCAGGTAACCGACGATTGGTCAAATAAATAATTTGAGGTTATAATAAAAATTAATTTCAAGCAGACATTTCTTTTTTGTTACTAAACTGAATCGTGTAATTTTTCGCTTAGCGCCAAAAAAGTTAAATAGCGAAGTGATAGCTTCCAGGTTTCGAGATTAGCTTCTGTTTTTATAAAGTAATAAATGAGACTATGTACAGGTGCTCTTCGCCATAGAAATCTCCAAGATGGTGGAACCAGCTGACTTCCAAGGTCGGTGAAATACACTTACATCGGAAAAACTAGCCTGAACTGGCAAGATTCTGAGGTGTCTTCAGATGGAGGATTGATTAAATATTTTCCATATTCAATACTAACATTACAATACATTTTCTCTACAGAAGTATCTGCAGTAAGCATGCACATCAGGAGGATGCATCCATCTGTATATTTCCCACTTTATCAGTATGAGGCTAACATTTCGAAAAATAATATTTTAGTTGAACTTTAAGGGCCAATTTCACCAAAATTAATATTTAACGGTCCCTTGAACCAACAGGAAAAGACCTTATCGAAATGCAATTTGACAGAAGCTGTCAAAGCTCTCTGAATATCAGTGACTTCTATTGAAATGTTTAATAAAGTCGTGAGAAAACGGTTGCCTTATAAATAAGGGTACATTATAGATATAATATTATGCCTTTGTGCTTTAGAATTAGGATAACTTCCATAGAATCTAAATTTTTTATCATTTCAGAAAAAACGGTCAGTTATTTAAGTGGGACCAATGGGAATCCGGCAAATAATAGTTCGATTTTCTAGCTGATAGATATATTCGGGCATCACATTTCCAACGGTTTGAAACCATCTGAGCTTGCGCAGTAAAGAAAACGTGTTCTAGCAAGGTTAGAATCTAGTTGGGGATTATCGGTCCACTGTTTCAGCAAACCAATCTTTGGTTTGAAAACTGGTTACGGACAGTCAAAACAGTACATAGGATTTTGTTGGGATTCGGGGTTTGTGACATGCGCAGATCGCAAAAGATCATAATGTTGTTTATGTTATGATTTGTGGTATTGTGGTGTGGTTATGATTTAATCAATGATGGAGACAAGGCAGATTTTTCAAGTTCAAGTTCAGAGTCCGACTGGATATCAGAAATCGATTCTACGGATGATGAAGATATTCTAGACATGATGCTTCATAATCACAAAAAAAAAACAAAAATGAGGATTACTTAAACGTAACCGTGCATCTATATACTGAAAGCGAGTTTAGAGAACATTTTAGGGTTAGTCGCAAACTGGCCGAAGATATCTCAACTAAATATGAACGGATGGGAAGATTTCTTCTTATGAACACACACTCATATTTTTGCGGTTCGCCGGACATGAAACATCATCGTTTCGTGATGTAGCTGACAGATTTGATATCACGTTTAGTTGTTTATTCCACATAATAAGACGTTTAGTCAAGTTTATAAGCAGTATATTCGGAACTGTAATTCAATGAGAAAAAAATCATAATTGAGTAACATTTCAGAGATAAAGGGTTTACAGGTGTAATAGGAGCAATAGACGGAACTCATATAAGGATTGATAGGCCAAAGGATGATACTGATTCATATCTGAACCGCAAGCACCTTTATTCAATCCAAGTAATTCAAAAAAACGCATCTATAGTTTTAATGATTAAGATAGTTTTTTTTAGGTACAAGTTGTTTGTGAAAATCGAGCACAAATCCGAGACATCTTTATTGGATAACCTGGATCAGTCCATGATAGCCGAGTATTCAGGAATTCACCACTACTTCCAGTACTGCGTGAAAACTGCCAACAGTATTATATACTGGGTGATAGTGGCTACCCATGTACAGGACATCTCCTAACACCATATAAAGATCATGGAAACCTGATGGGGATTGAAAGAAACTTCAATTTGAAGTTATCTAAAAATCGATATGTGATAGAGCACTGCTTTGGCCCAATGAAATGAAGTAGAAATGGAGACAGCTATACCATATCAAATTGAGAAAGATTGTTGATATTGTACACTTTATACGTGCATGATGTGTTTTGCATAATTTAGCTTTAAATGATGGCTTTCCTGATGAAGTACATCTTATACCTGATCCAGTCTTTCCACTTGTTCCAGAAATTTTGAATAATGCTGCTGCAGATCACAGGAATTTTGTGGCTAGGCATATTTTGATGTAGTGTAATCAGCTTTCTTTACTCGAAACTAAATAATAAGACTTCATTATTACAGACAGGTAAAAGCACATTCCTAAGGGGAATGGGTTTGAAATTTTCTTTGAAAGCATTGGACTCTGTCATTTATTTCATTTTTCATGCCAATCTGTGGCAACGGGCACAAATGCTGAGATACTCATTTTCAAAAATTACCAGACCTTAAAGGTGTACATCCCTAACACAGGAAAACAAGAAACTGCCATAAGGTTTATGCATCTTAAGTTGACTCCCTGGCCAAAAATATACACTTTTGAAGCTTGATAACTCATGGAGGTCTTTCCAGACATTTTACTGTCAACAACTACATCTGAAATCATTGTATAATTGATGTTGAAATCTTTTGTTTTGTACCTCGTAGGATGGTCCAATGTTCTTTTTGAAGATCTTCTGAATTATTCAAGTTTATTCTGTTGTTTACTTCTAGTTTGTAGTGTAAATTAATACTGTCAATGTACATACATTCATGTTTTAGATTAAATAAAAAGTATTTTTAAATAGTGTATCACTATTTTAATTTTTAATAATGCAGAATGAAGTAAAATACTAATCCCAATTTTACATTCATTCATCACAGAAATAAGACTTAATATACTTTGAAGTTGAGCCATTAATTTTCAGATAATGATTGTAGAAGGAAGATAAACCAAATATGGCACGAGGGGTTGGTTGCACTCGATTGGGAAACCGATTCGCACAAATCCGTGATGCCGCGGCAGCATTTTGTAAAGACTTGTAAATAAGAATCATGTCCACAAGTTCAGCATTTTCGTAAACATGTGCTATTTTTTATTTCGTTTGAGCCACGCAACAAACACCACTATTCACTCACGCGTGACCGACTGACGAAAAACATCGTGATAAACGTTTCTAATTCTTTCGCTTTTTTGTTTCCGATGCGATGAACCGATAACGCGGATTATATCCGTTGTTGCTAAACACGAGCACATAATATTATTATTGATACAGGGCGGTACTCAAACTTCTAAAGGGCTATAACTTTGGTACTTTAATTTTACCAGGAAAATGTTAAAGGAAAAAACATTTCTTTTGATCAGATCTACTCACTGTTAAAATAAATGACTCAACTTCGAAGTCACCCTGTATATCTGTCATTATAATAACTACAAACACAAACAATATTGCACATAAACACAAGATAACACACACAATAACTACGATTTAGTAACCATTTTGTCAGGGGATCTATTTTTTGTTTTTCAATATTTCGTTTCTTTTTTTTAAAACCTCAACTTGTTTATTTTTTATTTGTAATTTCTGTTTTTGCAGTTCTAATAAGGAGTCTATTTTGTATTTTTCCAATTCCAGTCTCTCCTCTTGGTATTGTTTTCGGTCTAATTGTATTTATTTCAGAATGTTTTCTTTTTTATATTGTATTACCTTTTGCTGCTTAACTTTAGCTGCAGACATCCCAAGCGCTTTTGTTGGTGTTTCCTGATTTTCAATCATATCCATGTGCTGTGCCTCATTTTCATTATATGGTCGAATCTCACCTACAATGAAGGGCCAGATGTGGTAAAAAAGAAATCAATCTACATCAATATTGAATATATTCGAATAACAGTGCTCTAATACTCAATGTTGGTGCCATTTAAATAGCCCCCAAGAAAGCTCTAAAAGTCCTTAGCCTGTGAAAGTGAAGGAAAAGTTTGAGTAATTGATGTAACATTTACTACAAATACTTAATAATGGAACAGTTTGTTACATTAAGTACATAATTTTTGAACCTGTTTTCGTTTTTCATGCCCCTTGAATCCATTACATTCTTTGGACCTTATATGGAGACAGTGTACATTTATATGTATATGCAGCTTACCTGATGTGGTCAGTAGAATTTCTGGATTTATATTTTTCTTCCTCCTGAAAATAGTGTCCATTTCTTCCGCAAATTCAAAGTATTTTCTGCCACGTCCAGTACTGGAATTATTTTTCACATAGCACTAATTTCTCTCCAGCACCCGCCAACGATTTTCGCAGTTTTGGGGTGTGTATTTTATTACACTTTCTCTTCATGTGTTCTGATATTGTATCCCACATTTTTTTCTGGGCTTTTCATTTCCATCCCACCTACTTACTTCTGAATATTTTGCAACATTCAATTAACATCAGTGCACGTTCTAGATTTCTGGGTCCTGAAACATCGATATTTGTAAAGTATCCGCATCCACCTAGTATTCATTGTCTAGATATTATAAGTCAGAATCAAAAATACCTATTTATGAAAATATATCTCCAAACATTGTTATATTTTCCTATTATTTCTATTATTATAACTCGTCTGGGATATCAATTGATTTTAAAGTGATCTGCAGTGTTGCCGAACCGTAAACAAATGGAATCGGTAAATAGTGTCGTTGAGTTCAGAATAAGGTAAATGCCGTCCCAAATTCAGTGGTAGATCAGGGACATTTGAGTCATGAAAAACGTCTGTTATTGTATTGGGCGCGCACACAACATGTCTTTTAAGGGCATAGTTCTATATTACAACTTCTACAATGTGCATACTGGTCGCTCTTTCAAAGTACTTTGCAAACCATTCTGGAAACTCCTATTTCCTTTCTAGTGTGGATGTTTGCTCAGTTCCTGAACAACTAAAAATATTCAACTTTTTGGATGTATGGATATCAAAAACCCTAAATGGTTTTGTGGGAATATCAATCTAAGGTGCCATAATGGTTCTGATGAACGGCAGGTAAATGAATGAATGTTTGGAAAAGAGCAATATCTATGAAATTTTTGGTAGTTTCTGTCATCAGGTAGGTGTTTAATGGCTATCTGCAAGAGGTATGTAGGAAAAAAACTCGGTGATGTCAAATAAGTAAAATCGCATATCAATTGAAGAAAATAATAATTATAAACATGTACAAAAAATCAACAATAGTAATTAAAACATGAATTTTATTCAAAAATCAAGCATTTCTTTAAATTTTGACTGAATTATATGTAATTTCTTCATATTCAATAAGCTGGTGATGTTTCAAGGACAAGCTATCACCTCATACTTTGACAATATTTTGTTTTCAACATTTCATAGGTATTGGTTGCTGAAATTTGTTGATTGGATGTTGAAGCTCATTCGCTGTATTTAACAGACTGTTACCCTATAGGTGGAGAATAACGGACTGTTAATTCTACGACCTTGGTGACATCCACCCTAAGGGCTAATTTCACCAACAACAGTCCGTTATTTTCCACCTATAGGGTAACAGCCCGTCAAATACAGCGAATGAGCTTCAAGTTCCAATCAACAAATTGAGCAACCAGTAGGTATGAAATGTTGAAAACGAAATATT